CAGACTTTTAAACTTCATTTTTAAATGTTACTACTACTATTATCATCATAACATAATTACATAATCCTCTAGTATGGAAGCCATGCTCCTATGCCATCAACTCCTACATTGTCCGAATGCCTGATCATCGTCTCCCAAAGCAGTTACTATACTCCCAACTTAAGAATGGGAAACGAAATGTTGGTGGGTAGGAAAGGGGGCACGGGACGGAGACTGTGCTAGTTGCCATCACAGATCAGCTCCGCTGCCAGATGGACCAAGGCGGATCAGCGCTGCTTGTGTTATTGGACCTCACAGCAGAATTTGATACGGTCGATCACAATCTATTGACCCACCGCCTAGCCATGACTGGGGTTAGGGGGATACCCCTTAAATGGGTGTCCTCCTTCCTCCAGAATCGGGGACAGCGTGTGGTGAGGGGAGGGATGGTTTCCGAGAGATCTCCGCTAACTTGCGGGGTCCCGCAGGGAGCTATTCTCTCTCCTCTATTATTTAACATCTATATGCGACCGCTTGCCCGACTGGTGCGGAGCTTTGGGCTTGAGTGCCACCAGTACGCTGATGACACTCAGCTCATTCTGAGGATGGAGGGCCGGTCAGACTCCGTACCCGAAAATTTCCATCAGTGCCTTGAGGCCGTTACTGGATGGTTGCGTGCCAGCAGGTTGAGGGTGAATCCAGCGAAGACGGAGATCCTTTGGCTGGGCCGTCCGGGTGGGAGGGAGATCCAGCTGCCTACCCTGGATGGCGAGACACTACGTCCGTCATCTTCTGTAAAAAGCCTTGGTGTCTTATTGGACCCGCTGCTCACAATGGAGGCCCAGGTCTCTGCTGTGAGCAGATCTGCGTTTTTCCATCTACGTCAGGCTAGGCGACTGGCTCCCTACCTATCTAGGAACGACCTGGCTACGGTGATCCAGGCGATGGTCATCTCGAGGCTTGACTACTGTAACACCCTCTACATTGGCCTTCCTTTGTCAGTGATCCGGAAACTGAAGCTGGTGCAAAATGCGGCGGCTCGTCTTCTCGCCGGGGTGCCGGCGAGGTGTCGTATCACCCCAATTCTACAACAGCTGCACTGGCTTCCGATTGAGTACCGGATTACTTTCAAGGTGCTGGTACTAACCTTTAAGGCCTTATATGGTCTGGGGCCGGCGTATTTGAGGGCCCGCTTATCTCCTTACCAACCCCAGAGATTACTCTGGTCTGAAGACCAAAATTTGCTTGAAGTCCCCAACATCCGGACTTATCATCTGTCCTCTACTAGGCAGAGAGCCTTCTCGATTGTGGCCCCTTATTTATGGAATGCCTTGCCAGTTGAAACCCGATCTATCCGAGACCTACTTGCTTTTCGGAAAGCCTGTAAAACCTTTCTCTTCCGACAAGCTTTCGATGGGTGAATAACTTGGGACTATATCTGTTCTTGTTTTTTTATTGTATTTTAAAGTTAATTGTATTGTTTTAATCTCTTTCTGTAAACCGCTCCGAGCCAAATTGGGAGTGGCGGTATACAAGTCAAATAAATAAATAAATAAATAAATAAATAAATAAAATATTTCCATAATCCACTCCAGTTCTCATTGTTTCCCTCTTGTCCCACCTCCCTTTCTCCTGATTCGTCAGTACGCCGAGGTGACAGAAGCCCAGCGATTGGCCCAGGAGCTCAGGAGGTGGCTAAGCCTCCTCCCAGCTGCAGAGCGCCAGCCAATCATCGTCGAGCCGGCAGAGGGGCGGAGAATGGGAGATTCAAACCTGGCAACTCTGTTACTGTACAAAAAAGGCTTTTATTTGTACACACGTTATGCTTAGCTTGGTGAAATATTGCTGCTCTGCATCCTTTTCAGCTGAATCGCAATAAAATCATCTTGGTGGCACTTCCTTCAACTTTGGTGAGATTTCTTTTGGGAAATTGGGAAAAACCTTTAAAATTGGGCTTCTCTTTGCTCACCCTTGTAGCGAGCCCTCATTGGTGGGTCCGCAGGGTCTCTACTTCAGGGCCAGACCCTTTGAAATTCCTCCATGATTTCAACCTGGCCCTCTTTTTAAAAAGTTTGAGGACTCCTGCTCTAGAACATGGCCATATAGTTCAAAAAAATCTACAAAAACCCAGTGATTCCAGCCATGAAAGCCTTCGACTATACAACGACAATGGTGGTTGAACAAGACAGTGGTGGAGCACAGCAGCCAAGGGCAATGGTGGAGGAGGCCCCAAGACTGCCTGCCTGGTTTGAACGCTGTCTGTGCTGCAAGGTCTTAAAGTGGCCAGCAGCATGGTGGAGAGTTGTAGAAGCTTCTCTCTCAGACAAGAAACAATCAGGGCCAGCTAACACCTCCCAACAAAGGATTCCCCCCCCCAGGCAGTAAGCAGCGAGACTTTGAAGCTGCAAGGTTATACAGAGGTCCTCCAAGTCAGTCGCTCGGCTGACCGGGGTACTGGGTGGTAACCTGTGCTGGATGGGGTTGCACTCCCCCTGAAACCACAGGTCCACAGTTTGGGGGTCCTCCTGGACTCAGAACTGACGCTTGATGCGCAAGTGTCGGCGGTGGCCGGGAGGGCCAATTTAAGGTGCAGGTTATCACCTATAAAGCCCTAAACGGTTTGGGACCCGCCTACCTTCGTGACCGTATCTCCCTCCATGAACCAACTCGGGCCCTCCGTTCTTCTGGGGAGGCCCTTATTTCGCCCCTGCCAGCTTCACAAGCTCGCCTAGTAAGTACAAGGGAGAGAGCTTTTTCCTCTGTGGCCCCCCAACTCTGGAACTCACTACCTGGAGAAATTAGGAAAGCCCCTACCTTAGAAACCTTTAAAAAGGACCTTAAAACCTGGTTCTTCCACTGTGCTTTTGATGAATAGGTTTACATTCTCACACTATTGCTTAGCCTCAACGTTTTGTCATTGGAGTATATGTCCCCTCTGCTTTGTGGGAAAGCCTGATTCCACAACCCCCACTATAATGAGTCCTGCTCCGCAAATAACCTGTCTCTCTGATATCGAGCTCTTTTAGGGGGCCCCTCCAGGGAGGAGAGCCCAAGGACCGCACCAAAGAGAGTCCTGGATACCTTGGTGAGATTTTTCTGGAGGCCAATCCAAGAGCGCCAAAAATGATTAAAATCAAATAAGCTCACCAGGCGAAAGGAGTCCAGCGACCGAGGCGTTTATTTGCGATTCAGCTGAATGGATGCAATACAGGAATCATTCCACTGCAAAGCATGCAGCACAAGAGTTTCCAGGCATTTTTATACAGTGTAGAACAAAAGAAAGCAGTTTGAAAATCCCGCCCGCCCCCATGTCAGCCGGCTTCACGCTGATTGGCTGAGGCTGGAACAGCTGGGAGGAGGTATTCCCGCCCTCTCCCGCCAGGAGCCAATGGGAGTGCTTCTTCGCCTCAGGAGGGCCAATGGGCGCCCTCCGCTCGCTTCCTGGGTTCTGGCCAATCAGGAGAGAGGAGGCGTGACAGCTGCGGACAATGGGGAAAGATGATGGGATTTGGGATTTCCTGCCCGCTGGAATGCGGGCCATTGTCCAAGGCGGGAAGAGGGTGATGTTTGTCAAACAAAGGCTTTCCTGTTCTTAATGAGTCTGGCGAGTGATATGAATAGCTGGATCGATACTGGACCGCCCGGAGGATCAACAGTATCTGGGTGATTTAATCAGTCCTTTCTTTCCGGGGCCCTGCTGACCAAACCCTCCTTTGTTGGCCTTGCTCCGATGACGAAGTCGGGGGCCAGCAGCATTGTCCATGCAAAATGAGTCAATCAATGGGTGATTTGGGGGGAAAGAGGCTTGGGCTCTTTCCCTCAGGCAGTTCCTGGTCATGCTGGCTTTATGGGGTAAGGGGTCAAGGGGGTGAAGATACAGGGGAGTTCATTGAGGGATACATATTTCATATTTATAAAATACAGGCATCACCAATATACAGGCATTTCATGTATCACAACCCACCACCCATCCCAATCCCAATCCATTACATTTTAAGAAAATATTTTATTTATTTCATAAAGAAGAAAGCAAGAAGTCCCGAAAGTCCGGACGGAGGGGTTTGGATGCAGGGGCCAGCCTATGGTTTAGGCTGGCCATCATCTCTCTTACCTCGCCTGAGTTTGAATTAGCTTTAATCAGTCTCTTTTTTAATCATTACATGTAGCCCGCCCATTGTCATTGTGATTGCGCCTATTGCAATTTTTAGACTGCTATGTTTTCATGTTTTATGTAATTATGTTGTTGGTTGTTTATTGTTTGCGTTTTCGGTTTTATTTTATTGTAATTTTCTGTTTGGAGTTGGCCTCATGTAAGCCGCTCCGAGTCCCCATTGGGGAGATGGCGGCGGGGTATAAATAAAGTTTATTATTATTATTATTATTATTATTCAATGTCAATCAATGTGGCCAATTGCAACACTCACACCTGCCTCAAGCAAAGAGTTCTTTCCTCCACCCTGGACATCATTCCACAGATATATAAACCCAATTTTCCTAGTTTCCAACACGCCTCACAACCTCTGAGGAAGCCTGCCACAGATGTGGGCGAAACGTCAGGAGAGAATGCTTCTGGAACATGGCCACAAATAACAACAACTCAATAACAGTTATAGTTTCACACGGCCTTCAGATTTCGTTGGCAAAGAGCGCGGGGGACTCACCAAACTATAAATCCCAGGATTGCATAGGATTGAACTGCGGCCTTGTGTCAACCAAACCTTCCTGACTCTGAAAGAGGGGGATTTTTCCCAGCATCCCATTCGCACCCTCTTAGTAAAGCATCCCCCCCGTTGCTAGGAGACGCGTCTCCCCGCCCCTCCGCTTCCGTTTGGTATTATCTTTGGCGAATCACGTGGCCCTCTCACTGTTGCCAAGCGACAAGGGAGTGAGTTGGGCCTAGTTCATTTCGAAGCTGAGAGAGACTGAGAAGCTCCCCGTTGCTAGGAGACGCGTCTCCCCGCCCCTCCGTTTCTGAATGGCATTGGTTTTGGCGAATCACGTGGCCCTCTGACTGAGTAGGCGGGGCCTAGCGGGTCTGCCGTTGCCAAGCGACGAGGGAGTGAGTTGGGCCTAGTTCATTTCGAAGCTGAGCTTGGGAGTCGCCTCTTCCACCTCAAATTCTCCCTTTTTGGGAGGTGGAAGGGCCTAGAAACCTATATATTTTTTTAAAAAAATAGAATAAATTTTCCTGACTTTCTGTCACTCAAAGATTTGCACTCTGCACATGCTCAGAGGTACGTCCTTGTTTAGCTTTGCAAAGCTTTGGGAGCCTGGCTTCAAGATCTTAATATCTTAGCTCATACAACCAATTACTATAGGAATTTAATTAATTATATGATTTAAATTGTTTTCTGTGCTTTGGTGCCTGGGATTTTTAATTTGTGGGGTTTTAAATATATATATTTTATATTTTCTTACCTATATTTTGCTCATTTTGCTTCATTATTATATTGTGTTTGTATAATGGTATAATTTTTATAATTGTATAATTTTTATATATTTTATATTATATTTTACATGTATTCTGTATATTTTTATGTTATATATACTATGTTTAGCTCATTTTGCTTCGTTATTGTGTTTCTTGCCTGTCTATTTTAGCTGGATATAATTCGTTTTACGGTTGTATTGTATAACTTTTATATATATTATATTATATATGTATTCTATATATATTTTATATGTATTCTATATTTATTTATGTTATATATACTATATTTAGCTCATTTTGCTTCATTATTATATTGTGTTTCTTGTGTGTGTATTTTAGCTGAATATAATTGCTTTTACGGTTGTATTGTATAACTTTATATATTTTATATTATATTTTATATGTATTCTATATATATTTATGTTATATATACTATATTTAGCTCCTTTTGCTTCATTATTATATTGTGTTTTTTGTGTGTGTATTTCAGCTGGATATAATTGCTTTTACGGTTGTATTGTATAACTTTTTATATATTTTATATGTATTCTATATATATATATGTGTGTGTGTTATATATACTATATTTAGCTCATTTTGCTTCATTATTATATTGTGTTTCTTGTGTGTGTATTTCAGCTGAATATAATTGCTTTTATGGTTGTATTGTATAACTTTATATATTTTATATTATATTTTATATGTATTCTATATATATTTATGTTATATATACTAAATTTAGCTCCTTTTGCTTCATTATTATATTGTGTTTTTTGTGTGTGTATTTCAGCTGGATATAATTGCTTTTACGGTTGTATTGTATAACTTTTTATATATTTTATATGTATTCTATATATATATATGTGTGTGTGTGTTATATATACTATATTTAGCTCATTTTGCTTCATTATTATATTGTGTTTCTTGTGTGTGTATTTCAGCTGAATATAATTGCTTTTATGGTTGTATTGTATAACTTTATATATTTTATATTATATTTTATATGTATTCTATATATATTTATGTTATATATACTATATTTAGCTCCTTTTGCTTCATTATTATATTGTGTTTTTTGTGTGTGTATTTCAGCTGGATATAATTGCTTTTACGGTTGTATTGTATAACTTTTTATATATTTTATATGTATTCTATATATATATATGTGTGTGTGTTATATATACTATATTTAGCTCATTTTGCTTCATTATTATATTGTGTTTCTTGTGTGTGTATTTTAGCTGAATATAATTGCTTTTACGGTTGTATTGTATAACTTTATATATTTTATATTATATTTTATATGTATTCTATATATATTTATGTTATATATACTATATTTAGCTCCTTTTGCTTCATTATTATATTGTGTTTTTTGTGTGTGTATTTCAGCTGGATATAATTGCTTTTACGGTTGTATTGTATAACTTTTTATATATTTTATATGTATTCTATATATATATATGTGTGTGTGTTATATATACTATATTTAGCTCATTTTGCTTCATTATTATATTGTGTTTTTTGTGTGTGTATTTTAGCTGGATATAATTGCTTTTACGGTTGTATTGTATAACTTTATATATTTTATATAATATTGTATTTTATATGTATTTTGTATTTATACATATATAATATTTATATTATATAGATTTTTACAATATATATATATAAATTAAATATATATTATGAATTTATATTATGTTTGATATAGATATATATTTATATATGATAGACATATAATTAATATAATATATTTATATTAGATTTGATATATATATATATATGAGTATTATTATTTATTTTATTATTTACAGTATTTATATTTTGCTTTTCTCAACCCTAGGGGGACTCAAAGCGGTTATTATTTAATTTTATATATATACATATATATATATTATTATTTACTTTATTATTTACAGTATTTATATATCACTTTTCTCAACCCTAGGGGGACTCAAAGCAGTTATTATTTAATTTTATATATATATATATATATATATATATATATATATATAATTTACTTTATTATTTACAGTATTTATATATCGCTTTTCTCAACCCTAGGGGGACCCAAAGCGTTTATTATTTAATTATATATATATATATACATACACACACACACATTTATATTACATTTTATATATTGTATATATATTATATTACATTATATTATATTTTATATAGACATTAGATTTTATATCTATTATATTTATGTATTTATTTTATATATATTTTTATTTCTCCCTCTTCTCATGATTTGAGGTGAGTTACAGCATAATTAAAACAGATAATGAGGTTGCTGTCAGTTTTTTGGGCTGTATGGCCATTTTCCAGAAGCATTCTCTCCTGACATTTTCCTGCATCTATGGCAGGCATCCTCAGAGGTTGTGAGGACCTCACAACTTCTGAGGATGCCTGCCATAGATGCAGGTGAAAGGTCAGGAGAGAATGCTTCTGGAACGTGGCCATACAGCCCAGAAAACACACAACAACCCAGTGATTCTGAGCATGAAAGCCTTAGACAATACAAAGTTTTTGCTAATAAACTTTTCCCATATTCTTATGATAGAACTAATTAGGAAATGACATTTGTAACATCGTGTTACATAGTGTTGTTGTTGTTGTTATTAACTTTTATTTCTATCCTGGTTTTCTCCCCATAAGGACTAAAGGCAACTAACAATTGTGTGATACAATTTCATAAACATTTAAAATAAGACAAATACAAAAATTAAAAAAATATTTGTATATTGTCTTCTAATTACAGGTTACCCCCCTCTGACAGTTGCTTGACATTTCATGATGGGGGACATCCTTGCGTATGAAGCGGAATTGCTCGGAATGGTGAAAGAGGTACTTTTTTATTTTCACTCACTTAATTTCTTTCTAGTGACCCTGTGAGGCTTCAGTTTGCAATATGGTTAGTTTTGGTAGGGTTGTAAAGAGGCCCTGTAATTAGGAATCTGCAAACAAGCTTTAACAGATGCTTCATTTCATCTGTCATTAGGACCGCTATCATTTTTGTATTATCAAAACAGATATTATTATTATTATTACTACCATAAAATAAAGTGTTTATTATGTATTCACATTATTTTGTGTACGTTCTGCCATTTTTCCCTAATGTGAGACCATCAACTCAAACTTTACAAAAAAAAAATAAAACACAATAAAAAATAATAGCATTAAAATAGTTGTATATTAAAATTAACAACTTGATTTAGGCCAAAAATCTCGTAAATATGATCACATCTCCCCCTAAAAGAATGCAAAGTTCTCTACAAATAGATGGGTAAGAGGCAGTACAGAAGACCTGGGGCTCTGCCACACAGCCATACAACCCAGAATATCAAAGCAGAAAATCCCACAATATCTGCTTTGAACTCAGTTATCTGTGTCCACACTGTCATATATTCCAGTTCAAAGCAGATAATATGGGATATTATTCAGCAGTGTGGAAGGTGCCCTAAGTTGTTGGAATTTACATAAATGTTGGCTTATTGAGATCTCTTTGCTTTGACTCTTCTCTTTAGAACTAAAGCTTGGATTTAATACTCAAATTGTATTTTATTATAAAATTTGTTTTTATTTATTTATTTATTTACGACATTTATATGGCGCCCTTTTCACCTCGAAGGGGACTCTGAGCGGCTTACAAGATATATATACATACAATATATTATATTATTAGCATAGCACAAGATCAGTATTATATTTTACTGTATTGTACTATACCATGATATTGTAATATTCTTAGTAATATTACATGTGTATGTATGTATATGTGTGTGTGTGTGTGTATATACACACACACACACATACACACACACATAATATTACTAAGAATATTACAATATAATGGTATAGTACAATACAGTAAAATATAATACTGATCTTGTGCTATGCTAATAATATAATATATTGTATGTATGTATATGTATTTATTTATTTATTATTCAAACTTATATGCCGCCACTCCCCTGGGGCTTACAAGAATGGCTAAAATCTAACAAAATTTAAAAGCAATTTAAAACAATTTAAAAACAGCAATATCAAACATTAAAAGCCTGTCGAAACAGGTATGTCTTACATGCCCTGCGGAAAGCTGGTAAGTCCCGCAAGGCACGGACTTCAGGTGGCAGAGTATTCCAGAGTGATGGTGCCACTGCTGTGAAGGCTCTGGTTGCTGGTAGACGCAAGGTCTTGACACTGGGGACTTCCAATAGATCTTGGTCCTCAGAACAGAGGGATCTCTGGGGTTGGTAGGGGGTGAGGCGGTCCCTCAGGTACATCGGCCCCAGACCATGCAAGGCCTTAAAGGTGAGTACCATCACTTTGAAGGTGATCCGGTGCTCAATTGGTAACCAATGCAGCTGCAGTAAGATTGGTGTTATGTGGCATCTCATCGGAATTCCCGCAAGAAGCCGAGCAGCTGCATTTTGTACCAACTTGAGCTTCCGGATCACCAACAAAGGAAGGCCAATGTAGAGGGCGTTACAGTAGTCCAGTCTTGAGATGACCGTGGCCTGGATCACCGTAGCTAGGTCGTCCCTGGACAGGTAGGGGGCCAATGCATGCCCAAAAGGTATGTTTTTTTCAATACAGTAAATAAACTATTTTCTCCCCATAGCTGCTGTGTTTTCTGCATCTCAATTTACCTTCCCATTTTGACATTTTTTAATAATATTACTCTTCCCTTCGGGGATGTTCTGTTCTGGCATTAGCATCTAATCTGTTACTATAGCATGTAAACAAATAAGACGTAGGCAGTGATCATGTATCCAATTAAGTGAAAGGAAACCCCACTGAAACCAAAGCACTTCCTTTTGTGTAGAAATATACGAGAATCCACCATTAGCATCCAGTATTTCTTATTTGCTATATTGGAGGAGGCCAATTGTCACAGAAGGAAAGTTTTTTCAGGTCTTTTGCTGTTTTTGCCCCCAAGAGAGACCGTTAGTCTCCTGTTCTGTTTCACTAGCCTATTGTAATCCTTTTTCTGCTTGTATCTTTTGATGCAGGGGTTCTTAACCTGTGGGTCCCCAGATGTTTTGGCCTACAACTCCCAGAAATCCAAGACTTATCTGTTCCAAATCATATCATCCAAGCCTCAAACAGAACAGAAGAATAAACAGATAGGTTCTCAGTGGTTCTCAACCTGTGGGTCTCCAGGTGTTTTGGCCTACAACTAACAGAAATCCCAGACAGTTTACCAGCTGTTACGATTTCTAAAAGTTGAAGGTCAAAACATCTGGAGACCCACAGATTGAGAACTGTCAAAAATGTTAAATATTAGCTAGGTATTTTTATTACAAAAGTGTGAGTCAAGCACTGAAAGATTTAGTAGGTCGAAGCCTGTTAGAGTCAGTGGGCCAAAACTAGTGTCATCCTGAGGAGAATGAGTTGGCCAAAGCCTGTTAATGGGCCAAAACTGGCTTTGGCCTATAAAGCCCTAAACGGTTCTGGCCCAACTTACCTGTCTGAACGTGTCTCCCCTTACGAACCATCGAGGACTCTAAGATCGTCTGGGGAGGCCCTGCTCTCGGTCCTGCCTTTGTCTCAAGTACGTTTGGCAGGGACGAGAGACAGGGCCTTCTCAGTGGTGGCCTCTCAGCTATGGAACACCCTTCCTAGGGAAATCTGCTCCCTCCCTCTTAACGTTTTGGAGGCAAGTTAAAACATGGCTGAGCAAGCGTTTACAAATGCAGAGTAGCTAATATAGGAAATCGAACAATTTGACAATCAAACTGGACAATGCTTGATAATAAGGAGACGCTAATGATGTTGTTTTTATTGCCTTTGTGGTGTTTTATAATGTTTAATGTTTTAATCTGTATTATGTTTTTATATGTACTGATTTGTTGGAAACTGCCTTGAGTCGCTGATTGGCTGAGAAAGGCGGTATACAAATACAGTAAATAAATAAATAAAATAAATAAAAACTAGTGTTGTCCAGAGGAGTGTGAGATAAACCTCTGTGTGAGAGAAGCCTTGTGTAAGAAAGCTCCAGTGTGAAGGCTGCTGCATGTAATGCTACTATGTATTTGTTTATTTTATAGAAACCTTGTTCTTGTAAATAGTGCGACCATATTATTTCACTACAGAGAAAAGCCTCCTAGCCTCCTAAGAGATAACGTTAGTCTGTGTGTTTTTGTACTTTTTATCACTTTGGGCTACTCGTACTGCTGATAAGTTACTCTGCTCTACATTTATGTTTTAATGGAAAATGTAATGACATATTTTCTTGTTTGCAGTATTTGGACTATGCTGAGTTTGAGGAGACTGTGAAAACTTTCACAAAAGAATGCAAAATAAAAGGGAAGCCATTGCCTAAGACAGGAGGTAGTTGTGCAAAGGACTCTAAGACACTAATAATCCAGGTAACACCACACTTTTTGCAGAATTATTATTTTTTATTTATTGAATGAAACCAAATGCTTCTATTTCTTTGCCGGGCTTCAACTGTGCTGCTATGCTGTCATTTTAGTATGAATCTGGGATCTCCAAACAACCCTTATAATATGGCTGAATGGGTTTGCTTCGGAAGTAAAAACGTTTTTCCCCATCTAAAGAAATGTAGCAACAATAATTCCTGGAAATTTTTTCCAGTGGATTTCCAAATATTGTACTAGATTTGCTTTATTGGATTGTTGTCTTATTGAATTTGTTTCTTTATATTGCTTTCTGAGAAAATGTGTTGTAGCAGTCATTGGATGTTCTGTTTTCCTCTTACTCATAAGTAGAAAGATGGCCACCTCTGCCCCTTCCTGCGCTCAGTTATTACATTGCTCACTACTTAACCCTGGCAGCGAAATGCAGCCTCCTTGTAAAGTACTTGCAATTGTGCTCAGTCGAGATACCAGGCTATGTCTTGCAAGTGTGAAATGCTTATTTTATTTATTTTGGTTGCTTCTACCCCGCCGTTCTCACCCCGGGGGGGACGGGGACTCAGGGCGGCTTACAAAAGCGAGGCACAATTCGATGCCCGCAAAACATACAGCAAAAGACAATAACATCATTTAACAACAACAATTCTATCAATAACAGCAATTACCATAAGACAATAATTATAATAGGTAAAAACAACCATAAAACCAATAAAAGCAATAAAAATCCATACAAACCTCCTTGACGGTCAGCGTTTCACAATCTCATAGTTTAAATTCCAATTCCATAATTGTCAGTCCTTTTAGTCCTATTCATCTGGTTTCCATATCTAATTGTCAGGTTGCCCAAAGGCCTGGTCCCACAACCACATCTTTACCTCCTCCTGAAGGTGAGGAGGGATGTTGACGCCCTAATTTCCCCCGGGAGTGAGTTCCACAAGTGAGGGGCCACCACCGAGAAGGCCCTGCTCCTCGTCCCCACCAGCCTCGCTTGTGATAGCGGTGGGGTCGAGAGCAGGGCCTCCCCGGATGATCTCAAGTTCCGGGGTGGGACGTAGAGGGAGATACGTTCGGACAGATACACTGGACCGGAACCGTATAGGGTTTTTTTAGGTCAAAACCAGCACCTTGAATTGTGCTCGGAATTGAACCGGCAGCCAGTGGAGCTGACACAGCAGGGAGGTGGTATGCTCCCTGTATGTCGCCCCGGTGAGCATGCTTCCAAGATATAGCCTGATGTTTGGATTAACTTTTGTTAAAGGGTAAGCTTTCCAGGCATGGGCAAACTTTGTCCCTCCAGGTGTTTTGGACTTCAACTCCCACAATGCCCAACAGCCCATGCCTTACTCTCCTCTCTTTTCCTTTCTGTTTGGAAGGATCTTCTGACTTCCTTTACCGACGGAGACCAGGATGTCTTCTTTGAACTCTGGGAGGAACACATCCCTTCCGCAGTGCGAGACAAAGAAGCTCTTGCCCAGAAGCTGGAGTTCTACCTTCACATTCATTTTGCCATCTTCCTCTTAAAGCACTCGGTGGGGAAGCCGGTATGTTTGCTGTGCTCTAAATTTGGCCGCGTGGGTTTTCTGACTGTCTAGGTTTTTAATGAGTAGTGGAGCCCGGGGTGTGCTTGACTGTTGAGTCTCTGTCTTGGTGTACAATCCATTCAATTCAATCCTCTTTCCGGTTTAATATTTAATTTTGGTTTGTGGCTTTGGTTTAGTTCTTCCTGGGGAAGTCTGACTGTGCCCTATCTTATAGTACTCCTCTATAAAAAGGTAAAGGTTTTTCCCTGACGTTAAGTCCAGTCCTGTCTGACTCTGGAGGTTCTTGGGCCTTCCAGGTAATTTTGCCAGGAATAGTTTCTGCCAACCTAGCAGTTCGAAAACATGCAAATGTGAGTAGATCAATAGGTACCACTTCAATGGGAAGGTAATGGTGTTCTATGCAGTCATGCTGGCCACATGACCTTGGAGGTGCCTATGGACAAGACCGGCTCTTCAGCTTAGAAATGGAGATGAGCACCACACCCCAGAGTCAGACATGTCTGGACTTAATGTCAGGGGACAACCTTTACCTTTACCCTATGACACAGGCATGGGCAAACTTCGACCCTCCAGGTGTTTTGTACTTATTTATTTACTACATTTATGTACCGCCCCTCTCAGCCCAAGGGCGACTCAGAACGGTTAACAATAGGCAACAATTTGATGTCGGTGCAATTACAACAAAATTTTTAAAAATTATAATTAAAATTAAATTTTAAAAAATTAAAAAATTAAAATTAAAACCATCATAAATACTTTAAAATACTAACTTCAACTCCCACAACACCTGGAAGGCCAAAACTTCAACTCTCACAATTCCTAACAGCCATCTGGAGGGCCCAAGTTTGCCCATGCCTGATCAAAACCATTATAATGACGTTCATGCCAAGGGTCCTGCCACACAGCCCTATATCCCAGAATATCAAGGCAGAAAATCCCACAATATCTGCTTTGAACTGAGATATCTGAGCCCACACTCAGGTTTAGCACAGCTGGTAAATCATCAGCAACTATAAGTTCTATCAACCGAAAGGATGCAAGTTCGAAGCCCTGGGTCGGCGTGAGCCAGCCCTGCTCACTGTTTACCTAAGCAGTTCGAAAACAGCTTTAGCTGTAATTAGAAATATTAAGTACCACTAAAAGTGGGTGAGGTGTTTTACAACGCCATAAAGAAAAAATAAGATCAGATAATGTTGGAATGAAGAAGTCCTGACAGCTTTTCCTCATAGAGGATAGAGCGACAGCACTCCCTGTGGACTCGAGCCCAACTGTCCATGGCATCGAAACAACACCTCCTTCTGTTCTGTCTGTGTACAGTCTATACAAACAGCATTGAATGTTTGCCGTGCATGTGTACTTGTGATCCGCCATGCGTCCCCTTTGAGGTGAGAAGGGCGGAATGTAAATGAAGTGTTGTTGTTGTTGTTATAATAATAATAATAATAATAATAATAATTATTATTATTATTATTATTATTATTTGAAACACAAGATGAGTCCACTCTGCTGTCTGTTGAATTGGATCACATATCAGACACTTCCCAAGTGTCTAGGACTGTGTGATGTATCGGCGAACGATGCGTGCAGATCCCAGTAAGGTGGCCTTTTGCAGCTGGCAGATGGTAATTTTCTCAGCGCCTATTGTGTTTAAGTGCAGGCCAAGGTCTTTAGGCACTGCACCCAGTGTGCCAACCTTAACTGGCTTGTGCCAGAGTCTTTGCAGTTCTATTTTTAAATCCTCATATCGTGTCAGCTTTTCCAGTTGTTTCTCTGCAATCCTGCTGTCACCTGGGATTGCGACATCAACGATCCATACTTTGTTTTTTAACATAATTGTGAGGTCAGGAGTATTGTGCTCCAAAACTCTGTCTGTCTGAATCCCGAAGTCCCAGAGGAGTTTGACGTGTTCATTCTCTGTAACTTTTTCCGGCTTGTGATCCCACCAGTTCTTTGTCGCAGGCAGATGGTATTTGTGGCACAAGTTCCAATGAATCATCTGAGCAATGGTGTTGTGCCTCTGCTTGTAGTCTGTCTGCGCAATCTTCTTGCAGCAGCTCAGGATGTGATCTATTGTTTCATCTGCTTCCTTGCAGAGTCTACATTTGGGATCTGTTATTATTATCATTATTATCATTATAATGTGGAATTTTCTGCCTTGATATTCTAGGATATAGGTCTGTGTGGAAGGGCCCCAAGTCCTTGTAATACAATCCTAATCCTTCTTGTTAATCCTTTGTGCTTTCCAGTTGTTTCTAATTTATGGCAGCCTTAAGGCAAATCTATCATGAATCTTTCTTGGCCTTTATTGGTCTTGCTTTTCACCTGAGAGATTTCCCACCGGGCTTCCATTTCTGAGTCAGGATTTGAACCCTGTTCTCCAGGGTCATTGTCCAACAGTGAAACCACTGTGCCATGCTGGCTTTCGGTGCATCCTTATTTGATAGGAGGTCTCAAAAAACACAGGTGGGAGTTATTCCAGAGTAAGAACACATAAGGTTGCGAGGTCTTTTGTACATGCTATACTGTTTTACTCCTTATGCAAACGTGTTCCTTGGAGCAGTTGCATTAGTCAAAAGCTATGGTAAATAAATTTATATATATATATATATATATATTTAATTTAGAACTTTTATATACCGGTCTTCTCACCTCCAATGAGGGACTCAGGCCGGCTTACAACAAGGGGGTTCATACACAATAGTTTAAAAACATCACATCAATAATACACTAATATAAACACATTAAAGTACTATCATATAATTATATAAAGCCAAGTCGTTAGCCTAAAAATCACTATTCATCCCCATCCATCCATGTGGTCAAAAGCCTCACTCATCAAATGCCAGATTCCAAAGCCAGGTTTTCACCAACTTTCTAAAGGTCAGGAGGGAAGGGGCAGTTCTAATCTCCAATGGGAGAGAGTTCCAGAGCCGAGGGGCCACCACCGAGAAGGCCCTGTCCCTCGTCCCCACCAGACTCGATTGCGAAGATGGTGGGACCGAGAGCAGGGCCCCTCCAGAAGATCTTAACAACCTTGATGGCTCATAGGGGAGAATCCATTCGGACAGGTAAACTGGGCCGGAGTCGTTTAGGGATTTATAGGTCAACACCAGCACTTTGAATTGTGCTCAGAAGCTAATTGGCAGCCAGTGGAGCTGGCACAACAGAGGAGTAGTATGCTCCCTGTACCCTGCTCCTGTTAGTAATCTGGCTGCCGCTCGTTGGACTAATTGCAGCTTCCGGGCAGTCTTCAGAGGCAACCCCACGTAGAGAGTGTTGCAGTAGTCTAAATGGGATGTAAGCAGAGCGTGGACCACCATAAAACATGCCAGCCTTTAAGATGTCACAAGATTGCTGCCACAAACTGACATGGCTTCCACAGAAATATTGCTTTTGTTCCTTTTCCTGTAGTAACTTCACCTGGGCAGGAAGCATGGACATCTAAGAACTATGGCTTGTGTCTCAGCAATCTCAAACCGTGAAAATACAGGCTTTTTCTAAAATGGTTGAGACATAGATTGGAAGGAAGCAACATAAACTGTGCTATTAAAACCAAGACATGGTGTTTCTATACCTGGAGCAATCATATCCATACAATAGGCAGGCACTTTGGGTAATAAGGCCTTAAAGTAGTCTAGGGTGGTTGGGGAAAGTCAGTAGAAGTGGTGCCATAAGGTCACCTGCAGGCTGCCTGCGGTATTCGGTAGGTGAGAATTGAGGCTTTCTAAAAATACAACCTCTTCCTGTGTGCTCTTTGCTTTCTCTTTGTATTGGTCCCCGTGCAATCAAAACAGCAGGGAAAGTGTTGTGAGGGCTGCTGGCTAGTTACATTTGGGCCTTAAAGGGACCTTCATCCAAGATGCAAAGTAATAAATAGTGTTTTGTATACCTCCCAACAGAGCTAGTACAAAGTTATCTGCATTGTTGTTATGCCACTTGTTTCCAAAAGAAGTAAAAGTATGATTATTCTCTGGATGGTACTGAGAAGTGATCCACATCTTCAGCAAGATGCAAGAAGCAGTTAAATTTAATCATATCTGGTAGCCACTGTGATATAGTGGTTTGAGTGTTGGACTTGGCCATAGAAACCCTCTGAGTGGTCCTGTATCAGGGCTCTTATCCCAGGATCTGATCCCAGGTTTTCTGCTTTCAACTGGATTATAGGAGTCCCCACTGCCAAATAATAATAATCTATCTATCTATATCTATATCTATCTATCTATCTATCTATCTATCTATCTATATATATATATATATATAAATGATCTGTGCATAATGAGTACCTTAAAAACAAAAGGACCAATGAACGAAATCACACCAAATTTGACGACAAAACATCTCACAACACAAGGAGTGACCATCACTCAAAAAATTATGATTTTGTCATTTGGGAGTTGTAGTTGCTGGGATTTATAGTTCACCTACAATCAAAGAGCATTCTGAACTCCACCAAAGATGGAATTGAACCAAACTTGGCACATAGGACTCCCACGACTAACATAAAACACTAGACGAGTTGGGCATTGACCTTGAGTTTTGGAGTTGTAGTTCGCCTACATCTATAGAGTACTGTGGACTCAAACAATGATGGATCTGCGTTGTTGTAGGTTTTTTCTGGCTATATGGCCATGTTCTAGAGGCATTTTCTCCTGACGTTTCGCCTGCATCTATGGCAAGCATCCTCAGAGGTAGTGAGTGATGGATCTGGACCAAACTTGGCATGAATACTCAGTATGCCCAAATATGAGCACAGATGGAGTTTGGGGGAAATAGACCTTGACATTTGGGAGTTGTAGTTACTGGGATTTATAGTTCACCTACAATCAAAGAGCATTCTGACATCTTGCGATGTGCTACTCTGCTGCTGAGTATGCATGCCCAGTGTGGAACACATCTCACCACACTAAAACAGTGGATGTGGCTCTGAATGAGACATGCCACATTATCACGGGGTGTCTGCGCCCTACACCTGAAATTACACTACTTAGCCGGTATTGCACCACCTGACATCCGCCAGGAAGTAGCAGCCAATAGTGAAAGGACCAAGGCAGAGACATCTCCAGCTCATCCCCTGTTTGGGTATCTGCCAGCATGTCAACGACTTAAATCTAGAAATAGTTTTCTAAGATCTACAGAGACACTCGCTGGAACACCTCAGCAAGTGAGAGTCCAAAAGTGGCAGGCTCAAACCCAGCACCTCAACCAATGGCTGATACCAAATGAGAGACTCCCCCCTGGGCACACAGAAGACTGGGCGACTTGGAAGGCGCTGAACAGACTGCGCTCTGGCACGAGATGCAGAGCCAACCTTCATAGAAATGGGGCCACAAAGTGGAATCCTCGACATGTGAGTGTGGAGAAGAGCAAACCACAGACCACCTGCTGCAATGCAACCTGAGCTCTGCCACATGCACAATGGAGGGCCTTCTTGCAGCAACACCAGAGGCACTCCAAGTGGCCAGATACTGGTCAAAGGACATTTAATCAACTACCAAACTCACACATTTTGTATTTTGTCTGTTTGTTTGCTTTGTTCTGTTAGAAATGTAATATAATTTGACTGTTTGTCCTGACACGACAAATAAATAAATAAATAAATAGAGTATTCTGAACCCCACCAATGACAGAATTGGGGCAAACTTCCCACACAGAACTCCCATGACCGACAGAAAATACTTAAGGTCATCCAGTCCATCTCCCTTTACCAGAGCAAGAAAATGTAATCAAAGCCCTCCTGACAAAGACCCATCCAGCCATAGATATATATGATTCACACACACACAGAGAGATATAGTATCCTAATTTGAAAGGGACCCCTAAAGAAGGACAACTATATGTTGTCTGTTCCAGAGCAAGCAAACCAGACACTCTCCACATCAACACTGACAAAGAAACAGCAAGAAATACTGTTTACCCAACAAGCATAAAGAAATTACAGATATTAGAAATCAACACTTTCTTATTACTTTATTTTCCAGATCAACAGACTGGGCCACAGCAACAAGTGGCAGGGGATGGCTAGTCTGGGATAAACAGAAAACTTGGGATCAGATCCTGGGATATAGGGCCTGTCTAGAAGGGCCCTCACACTCTATCTCCCTTACAGACAGGCAATGACAAGCCTTGCTCTGAACTAATTTTGGCAAGAATGTCCTATGATACAGGCATGGGCAAACTTTGGCCCTCCAGGTGTTTTGGACTTCAACTCCCACAATTTGGAGGGCCAAAGTTTGCCCATACCTGCTATGACAGGCTCGCTTTAGAGCTTCGGTATGGTTGGGCTACTTCACATCACTTGCCAGACTTAAGCCACTGCCAGACATGTTTGGCGTCAACTGTAATACAGCTTTGCAAAGAGCTGACATGTGTTTCTTTATTTTCCAAGAACAAAGTGGCTTTGGATAAAAGGATTTTGCGCTTTAAAACCTACCTGGAAACCAAAGGGGCAGGCCTGAGCCAGACGACAGAATTCCTCCCATTCTACGCCTTGCCTTTTGTTCCCAACCCTATGATCCACCCTTCCTTCAGAGAACTTTTCCAGGTATGCGCCTGCTTTGTTCAGAAATTACAGCTATTTTATTGGAGTGTTGTGTACTTTCTGGGCTGTAGTTTCATGTTCTAGCAGCATTTTCTCCTGATGTTTTGCCCATGTCTGCGACTGGCATCTTCAGAGGATCTCATTTTATCAGAGGAGCTATTTTATTATTCTGTTCTGTTGCAATCTATATGTCCCAGTTGTTCCACAAAAGCTTCCTAGCCATTTCTCTGTTGGGATGGATAGATTGACACACTCAATAAAGCGTGTGTAGTCTTGTGTTCACCCAAAAGTGTTAAATGAAAACATTTTTTGATGTGTTAGATCAATTTACTTAAAATACAGTCCACAGCAAGGTTGTTACACATTCACAGGTTTTGCTGAAGGGGTGATATGTATTTGGAACAGATTTTTTTTAACTTTTATTTTTTCCTTTATTTTTTTATAAATTATTTGACACAATCTATATATATATAAATGCTCTGTGCATAATGAGTTCCTTAAAAACAAAAGAACCAGTGAACGAAATTACACCAAACTTGCCAACAAAACATCTCACAACACAAGGAGTGACCATCACTCAAAAAATTATGATTTTGTCATTTGGGAGTTGTAGTTGCTGGGATTTATAGTTCTCCTACAATCAAAGAGCACTCTGAACTCCATCAATGATGGAATTGAACCAAACTTGGCACACAGAACTCCCATGACCAGCAGAAAATACTGGAAGGGTTTAGTGGGCATTGACCTTGAGTTTGGGAGTTGTAGTTCACCTATATCCAGAGAGCACTGTGGACTCCAACAATGATGAAGCTGGACCAAACTTGGCACAAGCACTCAATACGCCCAAATATGAACACAGATGGAGTTTGGGGGAAATAGATCTTGACATTTGGGAGTTGTAGTCACTGGGATTCATAGTTCACCCACAATCAAAGAGCATTCTGAACCCACAAACAACAGAATCAGGGCAAACTTCCCACACAGAACCCCCATGACCAACAGAAAATACTTAAGGCCATCCAGTACAACTACCTTCATCAGGGCAAGTCCTCCTGACAAAGAGCCATCCAGCCATAGATATAGATAGATAGATCGATAGATAGATAGATAGATAGATAGATAGATAGATAGATATGATTCACACACACACAGATATAGTATCATAGATTTGAAAGGGACCCTTAAAGAAGGACTATGATATGTTGCATGTTCCAGGGTGGGCAAACTGGACACTCTCCACATTAACACTGACAAAGAAACAGCAAGAAATGCTGTTTACCCACAAGCATCACATATATTAGAAACCAACAATTCCTCATTCCTTTATTTCCCAGATCAACAGACTGGGCCATAGCAACACGTGGCAGGGGACAGCTAGTCTCATATATAATCAGAAAATGTACATTCAGAAATAATGAAACATGTCTAGATCTGTATGCAGATGTCAACTTGTACAAAATAAGTATAACATACTTTACCATTCATTCGAGTTTAAGACTTTTTCAAAGGAAAATCCATGCAAACTATTCCTAACTAGAACTGTTTCCATCTAGATAACAGCAATAGTGCCATCAGCTATTTCTCTCCCCCCCCCCCATATATCAAACGCAAAAAAATTTAACAATAATCCCAATGTATCTGGGAAATTCCTTACAAGGCAAGAAATATATCTTAAATATATCTTCATGATCAAGAGAGTTTCAGAAAAGAAGACTTATTATTAAAGTCTTCTTTTTTTACACTTTTGGGTGAACACAAGACTACACACGCTTTATTGGGTGTAGTTAAAAAAAATTAATTAACTAAAATATATGCCCTAAAACAACTTAAACAAATTAAAAGAGTTGCCAGATACCAAATAAAATAAATGAGCATAAAAGAATGCTATTTATTTTAGAGACTTTCTATTGTATTCTGTATGGAAGAACCACCTCTTTTTTGAATGCAACAGAAATCCAACTGTGTTGTTGAACACGTTTATGGTCAGAATCACTGGGTTGCTGTGAGGTTTTCTGGGGTGTATGGACATGTTCTAGAAGCATTCTCTCCTGACGTTTCACCCACATCTACGGCATACATCTGTATCTGAGGATGCGTTCCATAGATGTGGGTGAAACATCAGGAGAGAATGCTTCTGGAACATGGCCAGACAGCCTGGAAAACTCACAGCAACCCAGAAATCCAACTGATGGGCAAGCCTCTCTGAAGCATGTTCAGCAACCTTGGTGTTGTACTAAAAAGGGTTTTTCTGTCGAGAAATTGCCAGTTATATTGCTCCGAGTGATTGGCAACATAGGAGTGAAAATGGAGACGAATGGGTTACTCATGAAGATGGCATAATATTAGAGAGATGCTTTCTTCCTGTTAGAATCCTGCAGTTTTCATTCTTACTCCATTGTTATTTTTGTGTCGTTCTCAAATACACCCCAACTGCAGAAATCCATCCAAGAGGTTATTGAAGACTGTAAATATTGTGACTTGTTCATCAGGATACAATCTGCTCACATTCATCTCTATTGGACAACCATAATTTTTTGTCCTTTTCCTTGGCTGGTTTGCTGTTGTGTGTTTTCCATTTCAAAGAAGGTTGCGGAGGAGAACTTAAAGATGATTTTTGCCAGTAAAGATGGCACATTTTCCATTTTGATGACCACTCTGCATTTTACAATATTCCCAGTAGCTTTCTGCACATCAACCATTCCCCAAATGGTCTGTTATTCTATTTATTTTACCAGGGAACACATTTTAAGTTAGATGTTCTTCTGCCTTGCTTCCTGCCTTCGACAACATTGTAATGCATGGCATGCTTTATGTACATATTTGGAAAACAGTTTTGATGTGTGTACGTTTCTCTTCTAGGACTCTTGGGAGTCTGATCTGAAAACAAGGTTGGAAGAATTCCTGTCTGTGACGCTAAAAGCCAGTAATACTCCAAGGCTTTTGACGTTATATGTATCCTTTGCAAAAAGCTTTCAAAATAGTCCTATTGTAGTGATTACGAAATGATTCCCTCTTGGTTTTTGGTAGAATGAGAATCACTTGGCTTCTCAGCATGTCGATGATATTTTATTGTTTGACTCTGTACATAGTTAGGTGAAAGTTCTGACTTCAATAGAACAGTCACCCAAGTAGATTGCAATTCACTGGTTAGTAGGATATGTTTTAATCAGTGAATGAATTGGCAAATTGGATGTTTGAATAATCCATGTACAGTATTGATGTATGAGTGAATAGTTTTGAAGAAAAAATATACTGTACTTTTACATCATACGCACATACTATGCATGGCTATTCTTTTCAGTCTAAGGCTGGCTGTACAATATAATAAATGTCATTTAACAGTGTAATGAAAACCTGCTCACGGGCCTCTGTACTGAGAGGCTGCAGAACCAACTACCTTCAGGGCATTACTCCTGAAACAGCTGCCTTGTTGGAAAACTATTACAGGCTCCACAACGAAGACCCATTTAGTGAGCAAACCCTTCAGGCAGCGCAGAGCATTGTGTCCTCCATCTCTGAAGCCAAGAAAGAACAGTGGATCAAGCTGATCACAGAGGTCGACATGGGCAGGAGCAGCCAGAAGGCGTGGAGGCTGCTAAGATGGTTGAGCAATGACCCCTCACAAACTAATACCCATGCCAACATAAAGGCAGATCAGATAGCACACCAACTCTTGAAGAATGGGAAACCCAACCTTGCCACCAAAGTAGGAAAGAAACCAATAGCCAGACAACAAGAGATTGAGAACAACAACCTCCATGAACCCTTTACATCTACTGAATTGGACATGGCTCTCAATAAATGCAAAAATGGCAAAGCAGCTGGCCTGGATGATCTACGGATGGAACAAATCAAGAACTTTGGCCCAAAAGCAAGGCGCTGGCTGCTGGAGCTGATGAACAACTGCACTGCATCCTGTCAGATCCCCAAAATCTGGAGGAAAGCAAGAGTCATAGCCATCTTGAAACCAGGCAAAGACCGTAATGATCCAAAAAGCTATAGACCAATCTCCCTGTTGTGCTACCTTTACAAATTAGTATCTAAGATGGATACCCCAGGCACTCTTCTAAAATGGCTGCTGAACTTCCTGGGCCTACTTTTCTGAGCCTTTCCTAGCCTAACAGGTAGGGAATTCATCACACCAGACCAATGTCAGGAGCATTGAGTTTGCTCTCGTAACCATTGACGTGAGATTCGTACTGGGTGGGGAAAAAGTGATGCTGGTGGAAAGATGCAGGGAAAAAAGTAAGATCCTCTCTAGAATATCACCCTTGGGAAAAGGTCCTCTTGGTTGGTACCGGTGCCTCCTTTTTGAGCATATATGAATAACATATCTTGTCCATATATCTGCAGTATTCTTTGTCAAAGTTTCAGAAGTATTTCTGTGAAACTTCAAGCTGTTCTCTCTGTCTCTCTGACTCTTATTTACATATTGCTCATTTTCCTTAGCCCTTATTGTCTCACCTGACAGAAGGAGAATGCACAGTGCAGCCAAGGTAAATAATTCCGTTAAATGAATACATGAAAGTAAATTCTGTAGATGACCTGTATATTCTCTTGTGGCATCAGAATGTCTGTTCTGTTTACTAGAAGTAAAAAGGAGGGGATTTTTACTCTGTATTTACTTTTTTATAATGTCAGGCTTGCATTAGTTATTAAGAATAATTTATGATAAAGCCTACATAGGGGCAAAAGTTTGGTAGCATTTTCTTCCACAGTTTGTCAAACTTCCCTAACAATATTTGGATGTGGAACAAAGATGCATTTAGGTAAAATAAGGACTTTCTGAAACTCATATGGTGGCAGCAGGTAGGGAAGGAATTTGCAGAATATACTACTACCACTACTACTACTACTACTACTACTAATAATAATAATAATAATAATAATAATAATAATCAAAATTGATGTGGTTCACAACTGGAACTTTGAAAAAGGAGACAGAGGGCCTGATTCTTGCAGCCCAAGAATAAGAAATTGGAACCAGTGCCATCAAAGCCAGAATTTAAAACTCAATGACAAATCCCAAGTGTAGACTCTGCAAGGAAGCAGACGAACAATGGGTCACATCCTCAGCTGCTGCAAGACGACCGTGCAGATAAACTACAAGCAGAGGCAGAATACCATTGCTCGGATGATCCTCTGGATCTCATGCCGCAAATACCATTTGCCTGCGACAATGAACTGGTGAAATCACGAGCCTGAAAAAGTTACGGAGAATGAACACGTCAAACTACTCTGGCACTTCTTAATTCAGACTAACAGAGTTTTGGAGCACAATACTCTTGACCTCATGATCATGGGGGGAAAAACAAAGTATGGATCGTCGATGTCGCAATCCCAGGTGACAGCAGGATTGAAAAGAAACAACTGGAAAAGCTGACACGATATGAGGATTTAAAGATTGAACTGCAAAGACTCTGGCACAAGCCAGTCAAGGTGGTCCCAGTGGTGATCACATCGTCAGCTGCTGCAAGAAGATCACGCTGTTGGGGTTCATTCAGCCTGTGTGTGAACCTGAACCTGATTCTCTGATTGTAGTTCCTGATGCTAATGCATTTCCTGATGCTAATGAAGATGTTGATTCTGAGGTCAACATAGAAGAAACTCCTGCAGCCTTGGAAAGCGAAAGTCCAAATTCTCATGAGAATATTTCAGAGCCAAGCGGTGAACTTTCACTCTCTTTTGGCTCTTCTGAGAATCTCTCTAATGAGGATAGGAGAGGGCAGATTTGGCAGAGCAGGTGAGAGTCGCAAGTTTTACGAAGGTCAGCTAGATTGAGAGAAATGCAAACAAGGCCTTCAAAGCCTTCAGGCATGTCATGTAATAGATTTCTCGGCTTTAAGTGCCTTCCGCCTGGATGCATCTTCAGACCAGGCATCGTTTCAGATTCATGTGCAGACTCTTGCAGTTCTCCTGCTTCCAGTGGCTTTGTTCCAAGGAATTTTTCTAGTGCTTCAAGTACGGTTAGTGGATTGCTAACAGGTTCCAGGATTTAGCAGTGTTACTGTGGGTTTTTGATCTTGTTCATGGACATTTCTTGTTGCTGATTTTTACTGTGGCTTTTTACCTTGCATATTTCCTCTATTTTTGTACTCATCTTTCATCAATAAAAAAGGATTGTTTTTCCTGAAGTCAAGTGTGGTGGATTGTTGTTTTAGGGTCCAGTTTCCTGCTCTGGGTTGCAACACATGCAGACAGACTACAAGCAGAGGCACAACACCATTTCTCAGATGATTCATTGGAACTTGTGCCACAAATACCATCTGCCTGCGACAAAGAACTGGTGGGATCACAAGCCGAAAAGTTACAGAGAATGAACACGCCAAACTCCTCTGGGACTTCCGGATTCAGACAGACAGAGTTTTGGAGCATAATACTCCTGACCTCACAATCGTGTTAAAAACAAAGTATGGATCGTCGATGTTGCAATCCCAGACAAGAGCAGGATTGCAGAGAAACAACTGGAAAAACTGACATGATACGAAGTTTAAAAATCGAACTGCAAAGAATCTGGCACAAACCAGTAAAGGTGGTCCCAATGGTGATCGGCACACTGGGTGCAGTGCCTAAAGACCTTGGCCTGCACTTAAAAACAATTGGCACTGACAAAATTACCATCTGTCAGCTGTAAAAGGCCACCCTACTTGGATCTGCAAGCATTATTTGCCATTACATCACATATTCCTAGACACTTGGGAAGTGTCCGTCATGTTATCAAATACAAAAGCCAGCATAGTGATAAACAACTTTATTTATATTCTGCCCTATCTCCCCGGAGGGACTCAGGGCGGATTGTCATGTGAAAGACAAGTGCTTAAACATGACCCTTTTGCTGATTTTCCCCATGTAAATGCCACGTATAAATTTGAAGAGTGGGGAGGTGTCTGTTTGCCTGATCTTGGCCAAGATTTGGGAAGCCCAGGAAAAATGCTGTGCTTAGTTACGTAAGGAAAAAACATAATCCTGAGTAGACATTTATGGGCTGCAGTTACGTCGTTTATTGTGCTCTTAAAACAAAATGAAGATGTTGATGGGAGAAATGACAGAATCCCTTGGAAAATGTCTTATGTTTTTCTGGTCTCTTGAAGCGTTCCCTGAAATGGCAGGAAAGGCATGTTTCCTTTAAGGAGGACGAATAGTTTAGGGACCAGAATCTCAGTTGATTACCTTTATCAGCATAATTGTACCCTCTGCTTTGCAACGCCAGCCGCATAATGTCTGGTTGTTGCATGCGTTCAAGTCATTTATGACTTATGGTGACTCTAAAGTAGACAATTCAAGAAAGATATTGACAAGCTGGAATGTGTCCAGAGGAGGGCGACTAAAATGATCAAAGGTCTGGAGAACAAGCCCTATGAGGAGCGGCTTAAGGAGCTGGGCATGTTTAGCCTGAAGAAGAGAAGTCTGAGAGGAGATATGATAGCCATGTATAAATATGTGAGAGGAAGCCACAGGGAGGAGGGAGCAAGCTTGTTTTCTGCTTCCTTGGAGACTAGGACGCGGAACAATGGCTTCAAACTACAAGAGAGGAGATTCCATCTGAACATGAGGAAGAACTTCCTGACTGTGAGAGCCGTTCAGCAGTGGAACTCTCTGCCCCAGAGGGAGTGTGGTGGAGGCTCCTTCTTTGGAAGCTTTTAAACAGAGGCTGGATGACCATCTGTCAGGGGTGATTTGAATGCAATATTCCTGCTTCTTGGCAGGGGGTTGGACTGGATGGCCCATGAGGTTTCTTCCAACTCTTTGATTCTATGATTCTTTATCACAAGATTTTCTGGGAGCCCCTGGTTGTACAATGGGTTAAACCCTTGTGCTGGTAGGACTGCTGACTGATAGGTCAGCGGTTTGAATCCAGAAAGAGCGGATTGAGCTCCCTCTATCAGCTCCAGCTCCCCATGCGGGCACATGAGAGAAGCCTCACACATGGTAAAACATCAAACATCTGGGCATCCCCTGGGCAACATCCTTGCAGATGGCCAATTCTCTCACACCAGAAGCAACTTGCAGTTTCTCAAGTTACTCTAACATGGAAAAAAAATAGATTTTCTTAGCAAAATTTCTTCAGAGAGGGGTTTGTCTTTTCCCTCCTCCGTTGAAGCATTAACCTGATCCAGCACATTTTTGTTTCAGGTGTGAAGTCTGTGTTTGTATCCCAACATATATAGAAGGAGTTAAGGCTGTAAATAAATGCAGAGACTCCATTTTCCAATCTTTTATTCAACTGAGCACAATGACCACCTCAATATAGGCTTTTGAGCACTGTGGCCCATTGTACTAAGCTCCTGCCAAGTGTCACAGCTTTTTAGGAACAAGGAACCTGGGATATGTCTATGTTCCTAATTTGTTGCAGTTACGACACACTGGCAACAAACATCCGCATAGTCAAAGCAATGGTATTCCCCGTAGTCACCTACAGATGTGAGAGCTGGACCATAAGGAAGGCTGAGCGAAGGAAGAGAGATGCTTTTGAACTGTGGTGTTGGAGGAAAGTTCTGAGAGTGCCTTGGACTGAGAAGATCCAACCAGTCCATACTTCAGGAAATAAAGCCCGACTGCTCATTGGAGGGAAGAATAGTAGAGGCCAAGATGAAGTACTTTGGCCACATCATGAGAAGAAAGGAAAGCTTAGAGAAGACAATGATGCTGGGGAAAATGGAAGGAAAAAGGAAGAGGGGCCGACCAAGGGCAAGATGGATGGATGGTATCCTTGAAGTGACTGGATTGACCTTGAAGGAGCTGGGGGTGGTGACGGCCGACAGGGAGCTCTGGCATGGGCTGGCCCATGAGGTCACTAAGAGTCGAAAACGACTGAACGAATGAACAACAACATGACACCACTTTAACTGTCATGGTTCCATCCCACAGCATTCTGGGAGTCCTAGTTTGGTAAGGGACTTAGAATTGACTGCCAGCGCTCTGTCCTGCAGCATGGGAGTACAGTGGAGAGTTCCAAGTTCCTTACCAAACTACAAATTCTAGGATTCCATAGAGTGGAGCCATGGCTGTTAAAGTGGCATCAAACTGCAGCAATTGCTCCAGTGGTAATGAAAGGCTCCCTTTAGCTCTTTCTTGCCTTGACGCTACATAGCTGCATTTTGCTCCTTCACTTTGCTGGTTTCACTCCTGTTCTTCTCCCAACAAAGAAGCCTTGACAATAAGTCACATCCTGGAATGATGTAACAGACAGATAGGAAGGAATCTGGGTTAGAAAGCAGTCTATTTTCCCCAATTTTTGCCAGAGTTTAAGAAACTTGGGAGTTCCACATGAGCTCACTGTGTTGCTTAAACTACTTGGTTGGCATTTGGTCTCTGTGAGAGGGAATACGTTGTGTTGTCAGAACAAAATAATCAGAAAAGTACTATTCAGTGAAGGGGAAAATTGACTGAGACCTCTTGGGCTTTTTGTTCTGTTTGGAATTTAAAATTGTGGAAAGTGTGTTTCCATTTCCTTGGAAGTTTCTTCAGTAGCTTTGGAGATGTAGGTTCTTCAGCCTGTCTTTTGCCTTTGCTGCTTTGACTCTGCCCTCCTCAACTGCTCTATCTTCCTTCTTACAAGCCTTGTCACTTCGTGGATGCCACCTCTTCCTTTGTGTGTTGTGTTAGACGATCCCTCGTTGTCCAAGTAGGATAGTCTTCCAAGATCAGTGTACTGGTGGGTCCGTAGGTGACTGTGGAGCCCTATTCTTCATCTGCATCTTCTCCTGCAGTGAGGGCATCATTGGTTTCCAGGTGGAAGGCAGTCTCGGTCGGAGTTGGCTTGATGCGCCTTCCTCTTGGCACGTTTCTCTCTTTCTCCATTCATGCCTCTTCAAATTCTACAGCACTGCTGGTCATAGCTGACCTCCAGATGGAGCGCTCAGAACTGGGAAGCCCTCTTCCTTTATTTTCTTCTTCAATAGCTATGGGTTCCACTTGGCTTTCAGCTTATCCCCAAAGGCCTTATGGTCTGTTCGTGTGACTGTAGGCTTAGTTACAACAGATTTGGTTACTGTATTGACGAAGGCTTTCATGGCCAGAATCACTGGGTTGTTGTAGGTTTTTTCAGGCTATATGGCCATGTTGTAGAGGCATTCTCTCCTGACGTTTCGCCTGCATCTATGGCAAGCATCCTCAGAGGTAGTGAGGTCTGTTGGAACTAGGAAAATGGGGTTTATATATCTGTGGAATGACCAGGGTGGGACAAAGAACTCTTGTCTGTTGGAGCTAGGTGTGAATGTTTCAACTGACCACCTTGATTAGCATTTGATGGCCTGGCAGTTTTTTTGGTGTGGCTTGTTAGTGCCTGGGGTAATCTTTTGTTGAGAGGTGATTAGATGTCCCTGATTGTTTCCTCTCTGTTGTTTTGCTGTTGTAATTTTAGATTTTTTTAATACTGGTAGCCAGATTTTGTTCATTTTCATGGACTCTAAAAAACTCTAGGCTGTTAGGAATTGTGGGAGTTGTAGTCCAAAACACCTGGAGGGCCGACGTTTGTCTGTGCCTGGACTATCCAGTCCAGCTCCCCTTTGTCATGTAGGAGCACACAATCCAAGCACTCCTGACAGACAGCCATCCAATCTCTGTTTCAAAACCTCCAGAAAAGGAGCCTCCAAAGGACTCCCTGGCAGCAGCGGATTCCATTGAACTCCATGAGTTCATTTCCACTTATCAAGTCATTTGTGTGTTTTATGTGCCTTAAAGGGCACCGCAGTGAAAGATTGTACAACTGAGTCTCTGTAATTGCATATCAGTCACAGACCTTTTCGGTAGTATGCAGGGCTTCTAGTGCGTAGTTTGGAAACTGTTATGTCACATTGGAGGGTTTTAAAGGCATCCGTCCATAAAGGGTTTCCATCTGGGAAATGCAAGTGCCAGTTCTGTTTTAACGCTCCGTGATAAAAGTTGATACCTGCGATTCTTGTTTGGTTTGGTTTGAAACGGTCTCCAGTAAATACTCAGGTCTGTTTATAAGCACCATCTTAAGAGCACCGAGCATTGTTTGCCGGTCTTTGAGACAAAATGTTCTAGCGAGACCATTAAATTGTCAAGACCTGTTTTAGAGGCCGACGTTTTCCCATCCGCTGGCTGTGTGTTGTTTCAGTCCAAGGAGGGTGATGTAGTCTAACGCCGACCAAGTACATTCCCCTCGCCTGGTCTAAGTCTTGTCAAGCTGGTAGTATTACCTAACGTCTATAGTACCTGCTGCAAAGTGTCTCTCGTGTGCCTTTTTGTAGCCATAATGGATCTCACTAGCCAAAGAGGAGGCCAAAAGCATGACTCTTACTTTAAGCAATTCTTTTACCCTTAAATTGATGGTAGCCGGAGTCAAATGGAGAGTGCACAACTTCATATTGCTGAGCCTGGAAACTCAGGTTTCGGCGGTGGTCAGGGGAACTTTTGCACAGTTAAAGCTTGTGCGCCAGCTGCGCCCATACCTTGGGAAGTCTGACTTGGCCACGGTGGTCCACGCTCTGGTTACATCCCGTATAGACTACTGCAACGGTCTCTAGGTGGTGTTGCCTCTGAAGACTGCCCGGAAGCTGTAATTAGTCCAACGCTCGGCTGCCAGGCTACTCACACGAGCGGGGTACAGGGAGTGCACAACTCCCTTGTTGCGCCAGCTCCACTGGCTGCCAATTAGCTTCCGAGCACAATTCAAAGTTCTGGTTTTAACCTACAAATCCCTTTAAGTTTCCTGCCCAGTTTACCTGTCTGAATGGATTCTACCCTACGAACCATCAAGGGTGTTAAGATCTTCCGGAGAGGCCCTGCTCTTGGTCCCACCACCTTCGCAGTTGCATTTGGTGGGGACGAGAGACAGGGCCTTTTCTGTGGTGGCTCCCCGGCTATTTATTTATTTATTTATTTATTTCGAGCATTTCTACCCCGCCCTTCTCAACCCCCGAAGGGGGACTCAGGGCGGCTTACAAAAGGCACAATTCGATGCCAGCAATACACATAGTAAGATAAAATACATAGCAGCAACAATTATAAATAGTTAAAACAATCAAATTATCCAATAACAACTAATAAAAGCCAATCTAATGTTCAACGTTCGCTAAGTTCAAAATCCGTAAGTTCATTCTGCATTGTCATAATCCTATCCAACTCTAGTCGTCATTGTCCTTTGTCTGTCTGCCAGATTACCCAAAGGCCTGGTCCCATATCCATGTTTTTAGTTTCCTTCTGAAAGAGAGTAGGGATGTCGATGACCTAATTTCCCCAGGGAGTGAATTCCACAGGCGAGAGGCCACCACCGAGAAGGCCCTGCTCCTCATCTCCACCAACCTCACTTGTGATAAAGGTGGGGTCGAGAGCAGGGCCTCCCCAGAGGATCTTAAACTCCGAGGCGGGACGTAGAAGGAGTCTTGGTTGTGGAACAAGGCATTTACAGAGTGATGTCTGAGACCGGTAATTGAATAAGGTATTGACCACAATGTGCGGACTGAGTTGGATGTTGCTTTTATCCTGACAAATGTTTTATTATGCTTTTTATCTGATATGTATTTTAACTTATTTTTTCTATATGATGTTTTATAATTTGTTCGTGAGCATTGGTAGAGAAGATCGGGATAGAAAAGTTTTAAACAAACAAATAAATAAATAATATCCCAGTGAAGCTGACACATTTCCTTTCCTCTCTTCTGCAGAAATGCTGCAGCAACTTCACCAGCAGCTGGTGGAGTCTGAACGCAAAACTATGACTTACCTCAAGCGATTCAATAAAATCCAGGCCGACTATCACAACCTGATTGGGGTCACGGCCGAACTGGTGGATTCCCTGGAAGCCACAGTGAGTGGCAAAATGGTGAGTCAGTCAGAATTAGAGGGCAGGGAGAGTTGCCTGCTGGGACACTGTAATTATTTATTTCATGTATAGCCTGCCTTTCTCCCAACATGAGCCTCAAGGCGACTTACAGCACGGCAAGCTCAAGATAGAACTGAAAACCTGATCAAAGTTGAGACATGATTAAATGCTCTATCCTATGAAAATATTGTGAATTTTTTAAAGTGTTGTCATATATATCCAGTATTGCCCTCGTGTTGGAGGGGCCACTGTCCGCCTACTTTCTTCCTTCTCCAGCTCTGAGAGGTTCTTCCTTACAATGTCACCACAGCAACATCCTTGCCACAATGGGTAGGCTCTCTTTGTGGTTCTTTCCTTCCTTCCTCCATTTTCCTCCTACAGCTTCTCCCTCTTCCCTTCCCTCCTTGCTCCTTCCTTCCTTCCTTCCTTTCCACACTTTCCCTCATACAGCTTCTCCAGTCTTCTTTTTTCCTATCTCTTCCTTCCTTCCTCCCCCCCTCCGCACTTTTTCTTCCTTTTCTTAACCCTCTTTATTTCCTCCCTCCCCTTCATACACATGTCACCTAGCAGCAACGAAGCCACTTCACCCCCTTCTTTCCAAGTGACATCACAGAGGGCCACTTCACCTGGCAGCAGCGAATCCTCTTGGTTCTTTTTCTTTCTCTCTGTACCCAAAAGAGTGGTCCTTTTAGTTCAAAACACTCAGTTATTTTGAGTTGGACAATGAAAGTTATTTGTGCCATTTTTGGTCCAGATCCACCAAGCAATGGAGAAGCCTTTGTTGTACAAATAAACACAACAAACTACTTTGACTTTTAGATAAATAGATAGAATAAAATTGCTTAATAATAACAATAAAGGTAGAAGTAGATCACATCCCCCAATTAAACAAACCACTTTCTGCACAACCAATCATCAAATGCCTGTTGAAATAAGGGTAGCAGGAGGGCTTTATTTGTGGCTGAAAGGAGAGCAGAGAGCAAGCCAGACAGTTTCCACAGCCTGGGAACAACCACCAGAAAGGCCCTATTCCCCATTCATATACACATTATATACATAGCCTGAAGGTAATTTTGCACACAGTTTTAAAAAATAATTATGTGTGTGAAACAAAGTTGATGTACATTGAGCCATCAAAAAGCAAAGGTGTCATTATCTCAGCTATCCCTATGGACAGTTTCAGATTTTGGAGTCTTTTACATTGGGAAATTCCGGATAAGAGTGGCTCAACTTGTATATTCTCTGCTTTTAAAAGCTGAATTAGTATGCAAAGTAAAGTATATCATGCAAGTATAAATATTTGCAACTGTGAGTCTGCTCCTTCCAATCCCCTCTCTTGATTTCTGATTGTTCTCTGAGGTTTTCAAAGCTGGGAAAATGGATCCAGAGGGAATTCTGCAGAAAGCTGACTCCTGTGGGGATGGTTCAGTGCCCTCTTGTTTACCATTCATCCCCTGGAAATGTCTCCCTGCCACCCCTACCCCTGTTGTTGCTGCTGTTCTGATTTAGGGTGGTCCTAAAGAAGCCAGTCTATGATTGGAAAATCCCAACTCAACCATAAAATCCATTAGGCAACCCGGGCAACTCATACTATTTTGGCCTTAGAGGCAGAGAGTAGCAAACTACTTAGGAACATATCTGGCCAAGAAAACCCTGAGGTTGGAAAGACACTGAAGGCATACAGTAAGAATAGCAAAAGTAGTCCTATTAGGGTTTTCTCAGCAAAATTTGCACAGAGAGAGTTTCCCATTGCCTTCCTGTGAGGCAGAGAGACTTGGTCAAGATTACCCAATGGGTTTCCATGGGTGAGATAAAATCCAATTCTGGTTTTTCAGAGTCCTAGTCCAACATTTAATCCAATTTTCCACAGTGGCCCTCCTCTCCATGTTAAGTTTCCCTTACCCAGGATTCTGAAATCTAAAGTACTCCAAAGTGGTTCACATGGGTGGCTGAGCTAGTGACATTTTTACTGTCCGTTTGCTCAGACTACAGATTATTATTGGTTTGGTTGCATGCACACAAATATTGTGTATAAAATTACCTTCAGGTTATATATACTGTGTATAAGGTGTATATAAAGCATATATAATTTTTGGGTTTAGACATGGGTCCCATCTCCACAGTGTCTCATTATGTATATGCAAGCATTCCAAAATTGCAACAATAACAACAACAAAATCTGAAACACAGAACTATTCTGTTGCAAGCATTTTGGATAAGGGATACTTATTGTCCTATATTAGCCCAGCAAAGGTGGATTTGCCTCTATTGAGCTCTGCCCCAAGGGCCAGAAAACATGGGTTGTTTTTTCCCCCCCCATATTGTCTAAGGCTTTCACAGCCAGAATCACTGAGGTGTTTCTGGGTGTAGTTTCCAGGCTGTATGGTTGTGTTCTTGCAGCTTTTTCTGACGTTTTGCCTGTATTTGCAGGCGAAACGTCAGGAGAAAATGCTGCTAGAACACAGTAATACAGCCCAGAAACCACATAACACCACATTGTATTTCTTCTGCTAAAGCAAATATGATCATATCACTGTCACCAAAACAATAAATAAATGTGTTGAAGGGTTTTGTTTGGTTTGTTTGGCATGTTGCATCAATAATAGTGGAGGGATCTGTATCAGAGGAAGTGGCACAAAGGGAGAGGGTTTGCCACACTTGGCGACCCTTTTCTGAGTCACGTTTCTCATTGATGACCCAAACATGGCTGTCTGGTGTCTTGTATAGTGTGCTCTGAAGCAATCTGGGTCATCTCTTCTTTGTTCACCATGGACTTGCTTTTCCTAGAATCTACCAGGTGATGGCACCATTTAGTTGAATTGATGGTCTTTCTCAAACTGAATCGGTTGAAGTCTGGAAAATGAAAAACACTTTCACCTGATGGCATTTTTATGACCTTGGATTGGATAGAATTTTAACATCATGGTCCTGGAAAGATTTTTTTTTTAAAAAAAAAAAAAAGTATTTCTCACTCCCAGAAAAAAAGACATCTTACATGCCAGCTCTCACAGAGGAAACGGCAGAATCTGCGTCATATACAGTTGCCACTCCCCGAGTATTCACAAATTCAACCATTCATAATGTGAAAATATGTTTAAAAATCTAGAAAGCAAACCTAAATTTGGCATTTTTTTGTACGGGGCACAGTTTTACTATGCCATTGTATATAATGGGACAGGAGCATCCTCAGGTTTTGGAACCAACAATGCACCACCTATGAGCTAGGCCAAAGTGATTACACATGAGGGGAGTAATTTCTCCCATCCAAATTTCTCCAAATATGAGATTATTGTACTTCGTCCCTATATGCATCAGTTCCTAGTATGTTCAAGGACATTTTAGATCGGTTCTCAAGATTTCTTTATTTTAATACTGTGTAAAATCAGAAAGAGCAAAAGTAAATCTGGGACTGGATGCAAACGTACAGTGTGAAAATCTGTGCTTTGAAATGTTCTATATAAAGAGGTCGAAATAGTCCACTATAGCTGGATGCAGTTGTGGCCAGATTGTGCTATAAGACACTATAAACATCTTCAGACAATTGAAAGAGGCTGTGGTGGTGCAGCGGGTTAAACCGCTAACCTGCAGAAGTTGCTGACTAGAAGGTCGGTAGTTTGAATCTGAGGGATGGGCTGAGCTTCCATTGTTAGCCCCAGCTTCTGCCAACACAGCAGTTCAAAAAACAACAACAACAATTTTATTGATTAGCCAATTTGACTTATCAAAAACAAACAATGCAGACATAACATACAACATATATCTAGTCCTCTTAAAATAAAATACAAACATACAGGTAGCCATAGATATATGCATATGTAAATGTGAGTGGATCAATAAGTACTGCTCCGGCGGGAAGGTAACAGCACTCTATGCAGCCATGCCGGCCACATGACCTAGGAGATGTCTACGGACAACGCGAGCTCTTCAGCTTAGAAATGGAGATGAGCACCACCCCATAGAGTCGGACATGACTAGACTTAAAGTCAGGGGAAACCTTTGCTTTTAACATACTCCAAAAAGTGCCATCTATATAAATAAAAATGTAATGTTCATTTGTGGGATTAACATAACTCAAAAACCATTGGATGAATTGGCACCAAAGACACCTAACAACCCAATATATGTCCTTCACTCAAAAAATTGATTTTGTTATTTGGGAGTTGTAGTTGCTGGGATTTATAGTTCACCTACAATCAAAGAGCATTCTGAACCCCACCAACAATGGAATTGAACCAAACTTGGCACACAGTTCTCCCATGACCAACAGAAAATAAGGGAAGGGTTTGGTGGGCAGTGTCCTTTGGTTTTGGAGTTGTAATTCACCTACATCCAGAGATCACTGTGGACTCAAACAACGACAGAACTGGACCAAACTCTACACGAATACTCAATATGCCCAAATGTGAAAACTGGTAAAGTTTGGGGAAAATAGAATCTTGACATTCGGGAGTTGTAGTTGCTGGGATTTATAGTTCACCTACAATCACAGAGTATTCTGAACCCCACCAACGATAAATTGGGCCAAACCTCCCACACAGAACCCCCATGTGGGCCACAGCAACGCGTGGCAAGGGACAGCTAGTATAAATAAAATTGTAATGTTCATTTGTGGGATTAACATAACTCAAAAACCACTGGACGAGTTGACACCAAATTTGGACACAATGCACCTATCAGGCTAATGAGTGAACATCACTCATCAAAACACTGAAAAACACAGCAGAAGACACTTAAAAATAAAAAA